ACTAAAACTGACTATCAAGAGATTCTTCTTCTTACTAGTATTTTTATTTCATGTGAAGGAGGGGGACAGTGTAGAGGAGGCATTCAGAATTTTCATATAAACCGTTATAATTAAATAATTTAAAATGGTTCATCAGCTAATTTTGAATGAATAGAAACACAAGAGTTTTTCTGAGATGAGGGATTCAATTGAATCTTGTGTCCCTCCTCTTGATAACACGTCAATCACATTTTAATTGTATGTCTTTTCCTATTATATGTATTTTTATGTATTTCTGTTGTTTTCAAGATTTCTTCTGGTTTAAAAACACTGAGCTGATGGGTTTTTCAACATTTTTAATTGGAAGATTTATGGATTTTACTGGTTTTAAATTTCATTTCTTTTATGTCTTTGTGGTTCTGGTTCAAAATTTCTTACTATTTTGTCTATGATTGATTAAATTTTCAGCATGATAAATAATACTGGGATATTTCATGATATTTCATGATAAATAATACTGGGATATTTCAGTGTTAAAATTTTTTTAATTATACTGTATATATATGTGTGTGTGTGTATGTAATAAAAACAAATTTTAGAAGTACTGATGTAGGAATACTGAGATGTAGAAGCGCAGAAATTCTGATGATGAAGCATGTAAATGGCGCATTGAAGAGGAATGCATAGCATGCTTATATGTTGTGTTTGTAATATCTAAGAAACTTATTGAGGCAGATTAAATTCCATTTTTATTTAAATTGACATCTGTGGCCACAGTTCACTTGGCACTCTAATTGTGTCATTTCCAGAAAACTTACATGATACTGTTGCAACAGAAACAGAGCACAGCAAAATAATGTTTAAGCAGCAACAAAGGTAGAAGCGAAGTGAGCATTTATATAGTATTGAAGATCACCAAGAGGAAGGTTTTGGTTTAGGTTAGAAATGTTTCAGTTCTCAAAATCTCGAGTTCAAGTTCCCAATTAGCTGCATGTTCCCAATGCATCACCAGCGTAATGCAAGCCATGTATCATGAATTGATCTAGAAATGATGCAATCCAGGAACGTTATTGCAATTTTTAAAATATAGAGAGGAAATACTGAAATTAAAAGCCTATTGTTAAATTGAATTATAAAGTTGATTTACATATTTATCTTACATATTGTTAAAATGTTTCTAAATATGTAAATGATTTTAGTGAAATTGTATGTGAAATTGTAATATTTTTGTAACATGAAATGCTTGAGAGACAAAGCTCTGCAGGAAAAATAAGATTACAGGGGCAAATCTATTTAACATTGAGGTAAATAGCTGTCTCACTAAATTGGCAAGCTATCACCAAGCTAATGCTGGTTTCGGCGACTAAGTTTATCACCAATTTTGGCAAGAAATTGCTAACTGTCACCAAACTTGGCAACCATGTTGTCAGGTTCCTTTATAGCTGTAATTGTTATTGCAATTGATCACCATATGTATCTCTAACTGTATCCGGCCCTCATATGTCTTCCAGTAATTTTGAGAAGTGGAAAATACTACAGATTTCTTGGCAGCTGACGAAAAACTGTACAAGAACAGACAGAGCGTCAGTTTCTTAATTCATATTTGACTTTGGAGTACTGAGATATCTCCGCATCAGCTTTTCTCTATAGATGCACTTTTAGTAGTTTGAAATGTAATTATCCATTATGCTCTGTGATATTAAGAAGAGCTATACGAGTATTTTTGTGGAAAGTTCCAGAACTGTGAAGTGTTTCTTTTGGTAAATTTTATCAAGCTATTATCAGTTCTATGGGCATTCAATTCATTATGAGCCTGTATACATGCAAAAATCTCTATATATATTATATATACATATTTGTGTGTTTGTGTGTATAAGCTATAAAACATAAAAGAAAACTATTAACTTTAATTTGGCAATATTTTTATTCCTCATTTTAATTTCACTGCATCCCCTTCCTGTCTTAAAAATACTAATATATGAATCTAAAATGTATCATCTGAAAATTAATCAGTATTACGCCATTACGTCATCAGAAGCAGGATACACTGAATGATTTTTTTACAGAAAAGGAATTGTAATCGATTTCGATTTATCCTCCTCCTGACGACTGATGCGGAGATATCTGAGTTAACTGGATTCTCCTCTTCTTTCATGTCCCCCCTTTTTTTCTGCTTATGTTTTTATTTTAATTTTTCTTTCAACATTTGTAGAATTCTAATTCTGCATATATAATATTTTTTTTAATTAATTTATTTATCTGAATTTCAATTTTCGGTATTTGTTCTAAATTTCTTTCTTTTTGTATTTAGTATATATTATATATATGTATATATATACACACACACACATATATATATATATATATACAATTGTACAGCTGTAAGTAAATAGTACATATCACACACACTAAGGCAACTTCCGAGACATGAACAGTACAATGTAAATTTTTCCAAATGGCTAAATAGAATAGGAGATAAAAAATTACCTACTTTATATATATGAAATTTCCTGCTTTCATAATATTTTGTCAAGATTTATTAGCTATACTGCAAATAGTGATATTATGTATATTTCCAGATATAATATATATGTATGAATGCATACATACATAAGACTGGACTGAAAACTGTCTTACTATTTTCCCTTGTAAACTAATAAAAAGTCAGGTATCAGAATTAGAGGAACCTGATGTTGGCCTTCAGAGAATACATATAACCTTCTCCAGCTGTAATTTTAGCTATTGTTTTTAGCTATTGCAATAACAATTAGTTGACAGGCCTCATGTTTACCACACTTCTGATTCCCATCATCATCAACAATAGAGTCCAATCAGGAGCTATTTAAAATATTCAATAAGCCTTTAATAAAAGCGATGTGCATCACCAAAATAGGAGGGATTGGTTTAATATTCTAGTATCAAAAGAATGAGTCCAGAAGTCTTACAAATCTTCCATGAGACCAAGACAGCACATACTTCAGCAGATGTAGCTTGACGTTCAATAATAAAAAGTTTCTTGTTTTCGATTTTGAAATGTTATATATAATAAGGTACTGTTAGTATGTGCACTATACATATTTCTTCATATCTGCAACTGATTGAATAGCATCCCAGATTAGAGTTCTAGTTTTAAATCTTTAATTATAAAGACAGTGCAACAGGCATTATTAAATTAACAAGTTACAACACAAGTTAATAATTATTAAATCTTAATCTATTATAGTTAAATTATGCATCTGCATTGAAAATTCGTTTCAAATATCCATTAAATTCATTATTTCAGTTTTAAAAACTAAAAATTTATTAAAATGCTTAAAGAGGTTTATTACATCTAGGGACGATCCCTGCCAGCCAGGACTTTTCTGAGAAACAAGATTCTGGTAGCATTGGTTTAAATGGGAGGATATGAAATTAACAAGAAACAGCACTAATGGAGGAGAAGTTTCACCTAGCTACGGAAAGGATGTACCGGCTATGTGCGATTTTAGGAAACTTTGCCGAAAATGTTTCGTCTGCAGCTCTGTCCCGGGTAGAGATCAATCAATCACATGAAAGTTCTACTTCTGAAGAATCACAGGTAATTTCCAGGTTGGCGATGGCTGGAGTAGTAAGATCATGGACGGTAGAAATAGAAGCCAATTTTATTGATGAAATACATACATAAAAGGGAGAATAGCAATGTTCAGGACTTAATTTCTTTTGATTCCGCTGTACTTTTAAATGTGCAGGAAGTGAAAAATAATACTGAAGTTCTGATTGGAAAATATTTATCTTCCTTCCTTCTATATATTACAGACTTGTGCAAAAGAAAGGAACTAAAATTAAAAATACAGCAAAAGGATCCTTGAGTCAAGTTATAGATGGCTTTTTTAATTTCATTTTTTTAAAATATAAAATATGTTTTTTTTTCGTTGTGTAAATAAAATTGTCTTCTATTTCTATATATTTTAATCTATGTAAATTTATATTACACTTAATTATGAACACAAATAGAAAAGTAAGAATTTGCGAAGTAATATTACTGTTAGTCTGTATAAGTTTATTTTGTGCATAATTATGATACACATTACATTAATAGAAAAATAAGAGTTCAACGAGTAAATGATATTGCATTTCATGTTCTTATTTTGAGGAATATAAAATGTTCAAAGTCACTAATCACACTTGAAAAACATATTTCAACTAGATAATTTTTATCTACAAATTACAATAGAAAAATTACAAAAACTGATTATTTAGTTCAGTCTTTCTGTTAGCATTAATTATATATTTTATATACATGTTCATATCTACTACTTGAGAAGTGACTTCGAATATTGATTGACTATTCTGAGTTATTTATTTTTTACTAGGTTACATTATGGTATAAATATGAATATAATGTAACAATACAGAAAGTGAAATAGACATATATGAATCTTGTTAAAAGATTTAGAAAAGTATTACAAAATCAACAAATGCTTTAAGAGTTTTAATGACAAGCAGGAACTAATTTTAAATAACTCCTTATTATTAACTAAATCAAAAGATTTCTTTGTTGTACTCATTTTAAGTTTTTCTCCAAGTGATGAAACAAACAAGAAGAAAGTTTTAAAATTCAGAATACGTGCTATTTTGATATAGTATAATATTTATGAAAGTGCTGAATCATAGTAAAACTCATATGTATTTCACTCATATTACATTCAATCTCCCATATAACATACAAGTTTAAAATGTCAAAAAGAAAATACTGAAATGCTTTCGTAAGAGCGATACAGTACAGAATTTGAAAACAAACGTCTCTTTCGCCAATCTGAGCTATAATTGATTATTGTTTGGCATTCAGGTCTGTTTAGTAAGGGAAAATGGTAACCTAGCTATGCAGGTTTCGTGGAAATGCAGGTTCTCAGAAATGTACCTTTTGATGCCCATCCCCATGTAGCAAAAACATATGTGATAGGAACTTAAGATTTCCTCATACTTTAAATCAAAAAATATACGTCATGCCATTTTTGAAATTAATATGAGCATTTACTCACCTAGCATCCTCATATCGTCCAGTGACAAGAAGTAGTCCCCTGAGAGATATAAAAGTGTCCCTACCCCAGTTGCGCATATACCCAGTGGAAAAGTGAGGTAAACCTATGAAAAAAAATTACGCATCTAAAATATTCTAGTAGTCACACATTTAAAATGCAGAGTGTTTATTCTCATTCATTAATAAGCTATTTAAGAAACACTACATAAATGTTTACAAATTTTCACCCCTTAAATTTTATATACTTATACACTATCCATAATCTTTCTGTTAATTTTTAAGTCAAAAGCAGATGTATCTTAAATATGGGACAAAAATAAAATCATAATACTAGTAAAAAATGCAAATGAAAGGAACATATAAAATCATCACAACAGACAAGCCACAGAGCTAAGAAAAAAATTAGAAATAGCCACTTATTGCATTAGAGAAGAATTAACAATGCCAGTTTAAATTGATAAAGTGAACTAAACTGAATGCATAAAAAATTTGATGGAGAAAGTAAGAATAAATATATAATACATAAAATCTGAATTTGAATAAAAAGCAGATTCTACGGTAAATAATTTTACCTTTGAGAATAAAATTTATAAAAAAATAAAATTTATATTATATATGTTTTGAAAAGAATGGGGGAATTACGTGAAATTGGTATAAACTCAGGTAATTTGTGAAAGCAATTTACAACACATTGTATGTTAAAAGGTTAATAAAAATGACAAAACAAAATATAACAAAGTCTTTACCTATAAGATTATTTATGACACTTAATTTTCAAAAACTGAGACATATAAATGACATGTAACATTATCTGAAGTACCTTAGAAATCCTGAGACAAATCAGTACATGCAATCATAGATGATGGCAGACATTTTTAAAGTTACTGCAGTTATTACTCATAATTAGTCAATAACAAAAAATCTAATTTAATATATAATTATATACATTTTATGCAGATTTCATGCAAATTACTATCCTTCTCAACATTTAACAAACAATCTTTAACTTCTCAGGCTTTCATAATAACAAATATTGAACAATTAACTGCATAGTGTTTCTTCAAGTTTGCAATCTGAATATGAAAGGAGAAGGTGATCTTGCAATACTATAAAAAGAAGCTGTATTCCAAGAAACTGTAAACAATTTTTGTAATGTGATTATGTTACTTGTTACCCTAGAAATATTACAGTCAAAAGTCGTTAATTCGGACACCCATAATTCGGAATGATCTATAATCCGGACCTCAAAGCTCAAAACTTTCTGCGCATGCGCCGCATTGACACATGCGCATAGGCGTTTACGCGTGCGTGAAAGACCTTTTACGACTGCGCATATGCGTGTGAGCAAGCGCAGAATATGTTTTCGTGTGCGCGTTTTACGTATAACGGACAGTATAAGCTAAAATTATCTAATTATCTATTTCAGTTAATGTTGATGATTGCGTTGTTCCTTAATCTTCGAATTGGATCCGGCTTATTATTTTTTGCAGACTGTAAGAGCAATTTTATAAAAGTAAGCTTGAACTTTCGATTATGTCAAATAGAAATTCCGATTCTGCAGCTCCCAAAGGATCATACAAAACGAAAGTATGTTTCGATGTCCATCAAACAAAAAGTGGAATTGCTGCAAAAAATGGATAAAGACATGAAGAATGTGACAGAGAGGTTAGTGAAAACAAAAAAATTTCGATTGACAAGTTAGTCGGTATTCTCGGCACAGCAGTTAGCAGTTACAGGACTTGAACAGCGGAACTTTGTAACTGAACAAGAAATGATGTCTGTTTATAGAATTAAAGAGAAAGTATTATCACATAAAACGAAGCAACTTAAACAACTTACATTGAAAGAAATGTTTAATAAAGTAAACAAATAAATATTAAGCTTTTTTTTTTGTAAATTTTGATACCATTTAGATCATAATTGTTCTTTATTTCATAAATTATGGTTTCATATCTTTAATTTTAGATTTCTGCATTCCATCTTACGAGATTGAAACTGATGATCTATAATCCAGAAAAATCGATAATCCAGAATCACCGAAGTCCCGACGAGTCCGGATTAACGACTTTTGACTGTATAACATTAATTTCAGGTCATCCTGAGTAACTGTTGTTACCAAATGAAATATTTAAAATCATTCCAGCATACTTTAGTACATTTTGTAACAAAAGGGTAAATAATCTAAAATTTTAAAAATAAAACTTTTACATAAAATTCATAAATAAAATTAGAAATCTTGATGCTCCTCAGATTTAAATTCAACAAATTTTAGGGAAGAAAAATGTCACACAGATTCTAATTTTTATACATATCCAATACCAGAGTTAAGCATGAAATTTTAATGCTATTTAAATATAAATTCAGCAGCTTTCAGAGATATATGAAGTAAATAGACTTCCCTCGATGGCTGTTGATTTTTTTCTTATTACTCCACAATACAAAGAATGAAGATTTCATTGGATATAAAAAAATTTTAACTATTCAGTTAAGATTAATTCCAATTTTCAAGTGATGTGTTTAATTAAAAAATTTTAAAATAGTTTGAAAGTCAGCAAACCAACTTTGACATTTTCTTTTCTTTCCTATTCATTTCATAGCATTAAAAAAATACTTCCATCTTCATTTTGCATAGTTTTATTTAATAAAATTAAATTTACCTGCAGATATTGTTATACACTTTGGCACAGTTTTTCCATTTTCATCTTTTCCTTCAGCTGGAATAGGTGGTTCCAAATTGGGAGAAAGTAATGGTAATGGTGCACTGCGAATAACTCCACACAGAATCACAGAACCCAAAGCAAGAGCTTTTACAAATGTAGATCCTTCAGAAACAAAGCTAAAACATATTTTAGTGGAAACTAAAATCGAAATTCTTTATCAAACAGATTAAAATTAAAAGAAAAATACTTAATTTAAAGGCACTGTTAAAAATTCAAGACAAAATTTTATCAGCTTATCATTCTTTGTTAAACCTTTTTGCTCCCAGTAGAGGGAGAATGAAGTTCCCTTGATAGCTCATTACCTTGGAATGCAGAATGTCACGGTGAATATGAAGATGTTTTGCAATTATGCCCAACATGAAAAAATAATTCCTACAAAATGTGCTTTTAATTGAGACATTTGGATCCTTCCATATATTAATCAAATATTATTTTTTAATATAAAGAATGATTCCTAATACTGACAATTAAAATACAATTTTAAAATAATTTAAAATGTAACATTAGTCATAATGGTTATATTTAACACATTTAAATTAGTTCCACGCTGTAATGAAGTAAAAAACTTACAAATTTAAATATCTGTGACTTTTATGTCCTACTCTCATACTTATGTAAAAATTTTTAAGCTGCTTGCAGTATGCGGAACATTTCTAAACTATGAATGTGCATTGTAAGTATCATGCATTTTACAATCATAGAATAAAATAATAAATAATACTTATAACAACAAAGTCAATACTCAAAATATTACATTCAGTTCAGGTTATAAGCATTACATGTTTTACATTTGTAGAATGAAATAGTAAATAATACTCCCAATAGCAAAGTTAACAGTCAAAACATTCCATTCAGCTAAGTTTTACAGCATTCTAACATCATTTATGCACATTTAAAATTTCAAATAAAATGTTCTATTTCAGCACATGAAATATGATACAGCTTGCCAATGACACTTTGCTTCTGTATCACATTTGATATAGTAGGCTCAAGGAAGGATACTGAAACAAATCATATATGATATACTAAGAGCAAAGAGGTTAAAGCTCATTATACAAATATTTCATTACGTAAAATCTAGTTACTTAAGAACTACTCATAGAATAAAATGAAGTTTTACAACCAATGACATAAATTTGAAAAACAGCCCCAAAACTTTCTGAAAAATGAATAAACTGAGTAACATGAGTTTTAAATCTCCTCGACTGTTTTTGCTCACACAAACACACAAATTTTAGGATGCAATGCTTCTATCTTAGGCTTAAAGTACATCAGTCATTATCTAAATCCTGCATGCCACAGCTACGCTAACAGATTTTTACAATTAAAGCAAATTTGAATATTGCCCTCTTTAAATATTTTTAGACCATTCATATTAATACTTAATTTATTATATTTCAATCTAGCCCCTTTTACTTCTGAATAATTACCAAATTCTTTCAGTGATCTGTTGAATGTATTTTTTTTATGATCTGGGGGGGGGGTAAAAAGGTTTTAATAAATCCTTTCAAAAACCTATTTATACAAAAGTAACTAACACTTAGCTATTAGAACTCTTTGATTAAAATAAAAGCACCTGCAAATGACCTGCTTACAATTCTCCAAATTAAGCAAACAAGCATTCCTAAAGTTTTAAATAACTTAAATAATAAATGAAATGGATTATGAATCCAACTTTATATGGCACAGTAAAACTAGGCTCACATTTTTTCAAGTGAGGGGTCCAGAATTAAAATCTCAGAAGATATAAGAGTTTTCCATTATTTTATTTTATTTATTATGAGGAGCTCCAAGTATAATGGAGGCTTGCAAATTTCCTAGACATAAAATTAAAAATGCATATCTGCTGATAACATAGTGGTATGAAAAACCTCAAGGCATTTTTGGAGTCTTGCAGCATCTACATTTCATTGTTAAGAAATTTTCTAAGTGGCATATGAGAGATTAGGATTATAACTAGGTAAATAACCATGTATTGGTTCTTTACATGTATATATAACCTTCAGGCAATACCATATTTTTACAAAAGTTAACTTTTTAGAAGAATTTTACATAAAATGTTATTTAAGAAATCTGTTTTAATTCACAAGATATCAGTAAAGCATGGGATAAGCCTTGTTACTTTTATTCACATTTAAAAAACATACTTCACAATTTTTACAAGGACTATTCAATATTTGTTATTAAATCTAATCCAAAAGCTTAGCAAATACAGATGTTTTTAAAAGATTACGTACTCAGACATTTTTCTCCACAAAGCACTTAGCAGACTACTGTAAGCACCTGTTATTATTGTATCAAAATAGCAAGGAATTAAGTAGCGTGGAATTCTTTTTAAGCTTTCAAAGACAACATGGAACCATTTTCCTAGCTAGAAAAGAGAAAACAATTATTGTACTTTTAAAATGTACTTTTTTTCAAAATACTTTCATTTTTGCTTGCTCACATAATCAGAATATAAGCAGTTAAGAAAATACCAATTCATTCTATACAAATATAAACATGAATTTTATATTATTTTTTCCTAGGCAAAACACTAACAATACAAATGAATAAACAATAAATCAACAAAGAATTTTAGGAAGAAATGCTATATAGCATTCAATTTACTTTAAAAAGGGGAGGACGGAAAGAGCATATTTTAATACAATGATCTCAAAGTGCAAGTAAAAAAATGTTTATTTGTTTTCTTATATTATAATACATACATATTTATTTTTATTTCCTTACCACACTGCTGTTTCCTTATTTTTTCCCTCTCCTCCCGTTTTCTTTCAAAATTGCAAGATGATTTTGTGATATGTACACATTTTGAATAATCATAAACTTAGTGTTCATTAAAGCATGATTTATTTTCAAAATTTAAAACTGACTACAGAAATGAATAATCTTTTTAACAATGCATGTTTTCTTAACTTAGCCTCCCTCATCCAAAACATTCTTTCTTGGAAACTGCACATCTTGCCAAGCACCACTTTCAAAACTATATTCTTTAGTCTTGATTTTCTTCAATAAGTTTCATGAGTTTTGTAGAAATATAACTTTTCCAATGTTTCACTTTAAAATGCATGATATCTGACTGCTATCATACAACTCACTTGCCTCACAGATTTTCTTCATTATGGATGACACATTTCCATTGCCTCCCCACCTCCCTGTGGGACTCATTGATGTACAAGATCTTCCAGAATCTTTCTGTGAACATTTTGAACAGTTCCATCTATTTCAAAATTATTTCTAATCCAAGTGATAGAAAACTGCATAGAAAGACCCATTTGAAATTCTCTGCTTAGCCGTTTTTTCACATTAATTGTATTTTAAAATTTCTGATAGCACATATAGATAATTTTTTTCAAAATTTATATCCATTGTTTAACTCCATACATTAGTTAACATATCAGTTTAACATGAAATGGGATAAAAATTAATTATTAGCTTGCATACATGTTTTGGAAATATCCTGTGTATACATTTTGGTCTTGATAAAATTTTTATATGCATCTTGGTCTCAATAAATTGCTGTATGTTGGTGCCTGTATATGCAACAAGCATATACATTTATACCCTGTATATGCATACTGGTCATTATGATACCCGAAGGAGATCATAAGGGTAAAAGGTTTGGGCAATAACATTTCAACAGAAGAAAAACTATATTAATGATTTAAAAAAATTAAGTCATTATCCTTCTGTTTCTTTAAAAAGAATATTTAATTTAAAAATAGCCATGCAGCTTTTAGTGTTAATTTTGATGCAGTTGATTGAAAACTTTCTTTACATGTAAAATATGTGATTGAAAAAAGAAATCACTCATTTATAGTCTAGCTGTAAATAATCAAGAAATTAACTGAATTACATTCAGTTCATTAAATGTAACAAATTTAAGCAAATATAATAATTCCATATTTAAGAAAAATGAAGAATTATGATATTTATTTATTAACAAATAAACTTAAATTTTTCAGAATTATTATATATGTTTAAGGAAGCTTCTTAGTAGTGTAACTATATGCAAATAAAAAATACACATAAGCAATAGATAAATAAAAAATAATTAATCACAAATAACTTACATTATAAGTAGCAGGATCATCCATCAGACGACTAGCTATGTAATCAGGCAACCAATTTCCATCACGTAAGTTTCGACACAATGGATGACCTAAATCATCTTCTAAATGAATGTTCATAAGTTCACTCATGACACCTAATGAATGAAATTGTTGTTTATTTTTTGCCTTGTAAAAATGCTGTTATTTCACAAGAGCTTGTGATAAAAGTAGTTAATACACATTTGAATGGCGCAGATTAAGATCTCAATATAATTTTGGAAACATTATACCATGAATAATATGCATGTCAACTTTTAAAAAAAATCATCTTAAATAATATTAATTTCATCATAAAAGGAACAAAAGGGTTCTAGAAAATTTAACTAACCATTGAAAAATGGTTTTGAGAGTACTATTCCATTAAAACATCACATATCAGCACATTTTTCTACCTTTCCCCCACACCTTTGGCTCCACACTTAGAAGAAATATAATGGTCAGGAAGAACAACAAGAAACCATTCTCTATTTTTATGATAAAATGGTCTAAGAACCCTTTTGTGGGGAAAGAACATGATCTACAATAACTTGTTTTGTGAAAACGTTTTCATCAAATTTTTACAGTTTTGTAGTATTCATAAATTTTAATGTTAGGAAAAGATAACAAGGAATCGACACTTATCTCTCCCATGTTGTTATTTCAATTAATCGTCGTGTTAGGATTCCTTTGAAGCAAGCTTTAGTTTGCAAAAATCAATAGATGTAAACTTCTGACAACATAAGTAATTGAATCTTATGGCAGAAATAAATGGTGTGATTGAATAAAATTCTTTATGTTTGGAATGTCTGTTTCTTCCTGGTGTGAAAGAATACTGCACAGCCATTTTGGGCTTTGAGCTGCATTTTAATCTCATGGGATGGTTACTCAAATACAAGCTTTCTTTGTGAAGAATATTTCTTTTTTTGAAGAAAAACAATAACCACTTGTTCACTTTTTGGCAAATAATAGGTTGTGAAATACACTGCAATTAAAAAAATAAACTCTTTACATGAAAAAAAAAAAAAAAAAAAAAAAAAAAAAAAAAAAAAAAAAAAAAAAAAAATGGTTGTACAGACAAAGATTAAAGGCTAGGAAACAAGTTAACAAAACTAGTGAACCAAGAACACCAAGAAAATACGCCAAACCACAAAAAGCACAATGTGTGACTTAATAGAAAAGTATCATTTTGATAATTGTAGGGGAGAGTACTGAAAAAAAGACAGATCTCAATAATGATGGAAAATTTATTATTTTTATTTCAAAAATAAAATTTGCATTCTTTTATGAAAAATTTAAAATGAGTTTAAATGTTGTTTCTTCAACATACAACCAAACGAAACTATATTAATTTTAAGCAGCATAGCCTCATAGCATAGATTTGTCAAAAGTTGATCACAATTAGTTTTAATTAGAATGATTAAAATGCAACAAACAAGATACAGGGGAAATTATAAATTACCAAGAATGCAGATTTGAAGAAGAACCACTAAAGACTGAGCTGCAAATCTGATCAATAAAATGAGAAAGTAATTTGAAAATTATATACATCAGGAATGTGTGAAATCTTATCATTAAATATATATATATATATATATAAGACTACTTACCTTAATGTACATATACTGAAACTGTACTTGTATGCATTACATTTTACTATACATTATGAATAACGTTTTTAATGGATTCCATATATAAAGTGAAACATGCTTTGGACTTTCTCTTTGTATGCAATCTGACAGCAAGCAAACCTTGATCTGATCATATTTCAGAAGATTTTAAAGATTTTTGGAAACATAAATATTCATATCTAAGAAGAATAACTGAATTATTCAGATACCCTATTTTTGTTAATAGTATACAGGATGACATAAATTATTTCTGTTATTCCAGCCTACAGAACTCCTATTTATGAATGGATTACCTACAACTGAATTTCAATATGCCAATATTGAAAGAATGGAGGAGGGGAGGATTGAGAAATAGATGTATTTAAGTTACTAATAACAATTAACATTGGTTTCAATATATTTTTCTAGCAGAAATAACTAATTTATTAAAATTTGGAACTACCTAAGTACTGTAATTAATATATTTAAGATTTTTGGGCCCCAAAAGGTAGACATATGACATACTGCTCAAATAAAATAAACAATAAAATCAGAATAAAATCTGTTCGTTTCTCTAGATAATAAGTTATTACTAACCTATTTTAACTAATTTTTCTTCTTAAAAATTATTTGAAAAGTATAACAAGGAATTAACACATTTCTGAAAGAATTTCAAATTATTTTAAATAACATTTTAATTAATTGAAAACATTCATGCATCATTTTATATATCACTTAAAAGATCACCTTGTAATCCACAATATACAAGATCGCCGTATCCCGGAAGATTATAAACACCACGCCCTTTCCCTTCATCTCTTTCTTCGCCATTACATTTAAAAAGTATTCTGTTTAAATCAGCTACTGTTAAATGCGAAAGAATGGATTCAAAATCATGAGTTCCTCGCTTTAAGACATTGCCACTATATGATCGCATTCTGTAACCAAACTGTGACACACATGTTCGTATTCGAAGAATAGACGATCTTGACTCACTATCTAATGATACTCTAAAACAAAAATAAATTCATATAGAAAAGTCAGTTATTTGTTAAAAGCAGTATTTCAAGCTAAAATTAATAATTACTTACATTAGCTGTTAAAAAATACACACATTTTGTTAAATTATTTAAGGTAAAATATAAAGAGGTGTACACTTAAATTTAAAAAAAAAACATATGATTTACAAAGTAGCAAAATAATACATTGGGTCATTTCATAAAAGATACACTTTTTCTTATATGCACAGCAGAATTTCATTTTAACAACAGAAGATCTACCTGAACATTTCCAATCAACCAATTTAACCATTCTTTAGTACTTAAAAGATATAAGAAGAGTTTCTAAATTGGAAATATGGGTTCCACAGGAATTGTCTGATATGAATTTGGAACTATAAAAGTTTCCTATTCTCACACATCTCATGACTATTTGATTGAAAATAGCTTACAAAGAGAGTCACTTCTTAATAAAATGGTGCAAAAAAGACTGTACATTTACAAAATTATAAAATGTCAAAGACAGCTGATAAAGATAAGGCATTATGCATAACACAAATAAGATGATTTTTATCCAAAGAAGGTTAAATGCTGTGTTTTTGGTGGGATAGGAGAATAATTACTCAAAATTGTTTATTAAAAGCTAAATGTCACTAGAATGCTACATGATGAAAAAATGAAATATAATATGATGTCAAAGTGAATGACTCAGTGTTTCTGGCATATCTAATACATAAAACTATTGGGGAAGCAGAGATCCTCACAAAATAATAAAAACCTAATGTTAAAAAGAAACTAGAGCAAAGAGAAATTTAAATTCATGTTTAATCACAATTCATATTTTAAAAAAGACAACTTATTAACTGCAAAAACATAGTATTAAGCAAGCAAAACATTTTTTCCAAATGATAAATAGATAAAGGGGAAAAAATTCAAAGTATGCTAAATTATATTATTTCAAATCATTTTAAAACATATTTTAAAATATAATAAACTATTAGGTAAAAGTTATAAGAAAAACTACAGGTGGCCCTTGAATTTTGCACATATTTAGTTCCTGAAAATGTGTGTGAATATTGAATGTTCGGAAGTAAAGGGATGTAAAAAAACATTAAAAGTTGTAGTTTAAAATATTTACTTACTAATAATATTATTTATTAACCAATATATATAATTAAGTTAATGAGACATGTTGAAGCACTTTCAAATGCTTTCTTTATAAATTTTTCAAGAATTGGTTGAATATTACCTCACTCCTTTTTTAGTCCAAAGAGGCAATCTGCCCTGAAGAACTATTAATTTCGCTTTGGCATTTTGCGTCAAAAACTTTAAAAGGCTGTATCACTTTTCAAATTGTTGCCATTAGATATTATCACCCTGTCCTAAATTTAAAGAAATTAAATAATGAAGAATCTGCATAAATGTATGTATGTTTCTCGCATTGTGATAAAACAAAGGTACCTAGAGCCATCAAAATTTGAACAACGTAATCTTCCATAGAATATGGGCATGTGGAAGCCCTAATTTGAATTGGAAATTTGTTTTATTATCGATTGCATATTTTGTAACACTTCAACGAATTTTCGATTAAAAAACTAAACAATTTCAGAACGAGCAATAGCAACACTGTATGAAAAAAAATATTTTTATCTCCAGCGCACAAGATTGTATGAAAATTCCAAAGATATGCTCATTTTAAAACTAATTTGCGATATTGCTGCTGAACTGAATTTTATAGTTTGAGTATGTAGAACATGATATTTAATAAATAAAAGTAACACACAAAATGGGGGGGGGGGGGAACCCTCCTCTGGATGTAGTTTAAAATCTGAAACCTTTCAGTTTTTTTTTTTACTTTTCTTGATAAAGAGTTCTGTAATATGCTAGGTTTTGCTCAATTGTCCAATGTACTTGAGATATATGCTCTCTACTGGCATCTTATTTTTTCATGATAGTAAAAAATTTGACAAGACGCATGAAGGTTTTATTCAGATTTTTGGTCATCAAAGTCTGAATAAATTTATCAGATTTTTTTCCACATTCTTATATTTAACTCTTGTTGCTCAATTAGTATTCATCAGACAGTGAGATTCAATCAACACTTTAAAATCTTCATTGTTCACATACAGTAATCTCTCATTACTCAATTTATTTCAGCCTGTGAGTCTCCAATATTGTTTATTGAGTTCAATATATCATACTTTTTCCAAAAATATTTTAATGAAGGGCCACCTTCCCTGCCAGTTGCCTTCATGACAGACTCATTAGTATCCTTGTATAATACAGTTTAAATGTAGCTATCAGTGTTTGAGTCATGGGCTGTATGAGGTAGGTAGTATTGAGAGGAAGAAGCACAACATTGATTTCTGGGTACAAATTCTGCAGAGATTTTGGGCATCTGGAGCCTTGTCTAAGATTAATAACATTTTAAATTGTAAATTTTTATCTTTATAATATCGCTTATATGCCTGCATGAAATAAAATGAGAACAAATTTTGGAATACTGACACACTAATTCAGGCTTTTATATTTGATTTCCTAATGACTGGGCACAGTTATTTATCTTTCCCTTTTAACACTCTAGGATTTCTGCTTGATAAACTAACATGCTTTAATTTTAAATCACCAGCTAACCACTTGCGCTACGACTAAACTTCACAGTTGCGGTGCCGTGCGCTACAATATAACAAGTGGTAAAGTGTTTCATTGATGCCACTCCGCATCTGCGAGTGTAATAAAGAGCTGTAACTCGAGAAATAAACAATCTCGTTGTTAGGCGACGTGTGCACCACCTTATTTTCATTTTTGAGATAAATGCCTATCGACGTGGTGTTCACGTCGGTCGCGGTTTGAGACAAAAGAATCTCGACATGCGTGGCCCGTCTTTTTAGCACAAGTTGTTAAGTTTCCACCAAGAAGCCATGCCAATTTGTTTTCAGAAAGCTTATGTGCAGATGCAACTGATTCTTCCTTTGATAAAAAGATATGATTAGGCATTTTTTTTCCAAAACAAAATGGAGGATAAAATAAAAATACAAATGGAAAGTGGGAGCAACAGCATGGCAGCGAACAATTTTTGCAATCTTGACAAAAAATTGCGTGAAATAACGAATTCTGCAAAACTGAGAGCCGCCTGTAATTAGATTTTTAAACGTACCTAAACACAATGACAGATCCAGGGGGGAAATGAATGAAATCAATTTCATTATATCCATCTTCTGAAACACCAGCACTTTCAATCATTTCACTTTCGTAAATTTGAATATTTTCTTTTATTTTGAGTTTAAAATCTGTTAAGCCATTAATGAAAGTATCATCTTTATACTGAGATGGACCTAATGTAGTCCCTGGATGACCAACAGGTTGAAGCAAACCTTCCAGTATTATTTCTTCTATAACTCCTAAAATATCATTAGAATTATAAGTAAAAAAAATGAAAAACTCATTACAAATACAGATTACAAAGAAACCATTAATTTTAAAAGTATTTCTGAAAACTACAAATAATTTTTTTTTTGATAAATATTGGCAATTTTGAGCAAATTTAGTGTCATAATAGAACATTTCTTCCATATATAATAATGATAATTGCACTGGTGGGCAAAAATTAAGGACGAAGTGGAAAAATTAACATATCAGCTGAACGAAGAGGCAGAGCGGACAGAAAGACCAATCAGGAGATTAAGTAAGGTGATGTACGGTAGCACATGTGCAGATATGCAGGTAGACGTAATGGGGGAGTGTCTGAGTAGTATAAAGCATGTTGTCGGTGTAAGATCAGTATTTCTGACAAAGAGATTGCACGCCGTATAGCAGTTAAAATAACACCGAGTTGCTGCCTCAGCGAGAAATGGCAAATAATCAATCTGTTAGACGACATCTGGATGCTTTTACCCGAGGTCAAATCATTGGGAAGTTTGAGGATGGCCGCAGTGTGACAAGTGTGGCTGCAGAGTTCTGAATTGCTCACAGCATCATTTCACGACTTTGGAGACAATTTCAAACTACAGGAACAGCTATCCGGGGGTTTAGTAGTGGTCGTCCACGAAGAACCACACCCGCAGATGACCGGTATATTGCCTTACAGGCCAGAAGAAATAGGCGGCAGACAGCGGGAGAAATCGCTAGACACACGACAAAGGCGACTGGACGACCGATATCGCGTTTTACCGTGGCCAGAAGACTGCACGGTGGTGGTCTGTTTGCATGACGCCCTGTACACTGCGTAACTCTAATGCCTGCCCATCGGAGAAGGCGTTCTCTGTGGTGCCGGGAACACCGGAATTGGAGAGACAATGGAATGGGGACGAGTACTCTTTACAGATGAGAGCAGATTCAGTCTGAGTAGCGATTCTCATCGCGTACTCATTTGGAGAGAGCGGGGAAGCCTCAATCCTCCCTCGAACATCATTGAGAAAGACAGGTATGGAGGTGGCGGTGTTCTCGTTTGGGGAGGCATCATGCTTGGTAGTCGTACAGACCTTGACATCTTCGACGCAGGTTCAGTCAACGGGACCCGTTATTGTAACGAGATTCTTTTTCCATATGTGCATATCTTCCATATGTATTTATATTTTTAGAGGCGCTATGGGTCCGCAGTTCCTTTTCATGGACGACAATGCACCATGTCATCGCACAGTAGCTGCCGAACAGCTCTTAGAGAGTGAGGATATTGAACGTATGGATTGGCCGGCACGATCTCCGGATCTCAATCCCATCGAGCATGTATGGGATTTTCTAGGCAGACGCTTGGTAGCTCGTACCTTACCACCAGTAACGATTCCGGAGCTTCGATTGGCGCTACAAGACGAATGGGCAGCAATGCCTCAACAACTCATTGACACCCTCATTCTCAGCATGGGCAGATGCTGTGAAACCTGCCTAGCAGTCAGGGGAGATCATATCCCCTATTAAAGACCGGATGTTTCTTGCTGGACACCCATCACAGGGATGTTTCGGCCTTCAGTCGCATTGCGCTCCATGCTACTTTTTCAATAAAGTTTCTTTTTATCCCTCTAATTTCTCTTTTAGTAAGTGTTGCTTACATTACTCATGTCCTTACGTATTGGGGATCTTATGGTATTAAATGTGTTGATTTGGAAAGCTTTTGTACAAAGTTATATTGAAAAAACCATCTCGTCCTTAATTTTTGCACACCAGTGTACAATGTAATTTAATGACATAAGTTGAAATTAATTTAAAAGCAAATATGAAACAACATACAACTTGTCCATAAAAATGCTTATACAGCCTTTATTTTTATAACCACTGGTAATAAATATCTACTTCCAGTTATCAAAATCTTCAACAACAAATGTTTTTGTTTGAAACTTAAAAAATAAATTAATAAATGAGTCTGTAAAAATTGTAAAATTTAACATTTTGTAAGATCCTCAGTTATGTTTAGTAAAAATTTACACTCACTTTGAAAAGTTTGGGACTCTTATAAATTTATACTGTCCTCCCCCGACCAAAAAAAGTTTTTTATAAACTTAAATGTTAAAATTTGAGGGGTTAGTTAAAAATAAATTAGAATAATTCTTGCATAGACTTAGAATAATTAGCCCTGCATTATATTTGAAGAAATTAAATAATGAAAAATCTGCATAAATGTATGTATATTTCTTGCAATGTGATAAAACAACGGTACATAGAGCCATCTAATTTTGAATGAGGTAATCTTACTGCGAATATGGGCATCTGAAAATCTAAATTTGAAGTTTGAAATTTGTTTTATTATCGGTTTCCAATTTTGAACGAATTTTTGGATTAACAAACTCAAGGATTTAAAAGTGAGCAATGGCAACACTCTACCAGGGGGGGGGACCTTTTTATCTCCAGCACATGGAACTGTGTATCAGAAATTCTAAAGATATGCTCATTTTAAAATTATTTTGCCACATTGCTATTGAACTGAATTTTATGCTTTAAGTGCAAAGAACGTGATATTTAATAAATAAAGGTAACACACAAAACATTAAAAAAATACCCCTTTGGACGTAATTTAAAATCTGAAACCTTTCTTTCTTTTTTTTTTTTTTTAAATTTAAATTTTTTGGAAGTAGAAACTTTTTTTATCTTTTTTTTCCGCTCATGCACAATGTAAAAAGATAGGAACGAGCTGCCTTTTTTACCTCTCCAGCATAATGATTATTCTTGCCGCAAACTGAAAAATTTCCCCAAGATAAATTTTTGAATTTCTCCATAAATTTTGCACTAAATTTTAAAAAATTTAATATTTAGGTATAATTTGAGTTGTAGAATCGAAATATGTAAAAAAAAAAAAAAAAAAAAAAAAAACTGGTATGTTAATGCAGGAAAAGTCCAATTTTTTGTCAAAATATTTATGTAAGAAGAATACTATATATAAATCTAATAAATATCCTAAGTCACTCTTTTGAAACATGAAAAACGCAATTTGAATTTTGTCAATCAGCCCAGTAGAACGGGAGACATAGAACTGCCCCTCTTCCCCCCCACAGAGTACATACATTTTGTTTATGTGTTTATGGCAAAACCTCGAGGGCTATCTTCCTAAGGGAAGGGATGCCTCCCTGGAAGACTTTCTAAGGGAAACTGGCTTGTATACACATTACACATGGGGAAAACCACGAAAATGGCCATGCAGCCAGCTTATTTGCGAATTCAAATCTCGAACTGAACAACCAGTGTTCAGCAACTTTACCGCTCGGCTGGCTGCAGGTGTTCTCACGTGTATACTAGTACATTAATAAAAAATATAGTTCAAAATGGTATTTTTAATTTCTCATGCTATAAGGTATTGTCTCCCTCCTTTTTGCATGTGTATGTGGTGTAATTGGAAGCATGTTTGGCATATATTCAAGAGATCCAAGGCTCGAGTTCCAGGGACGGCAGTGCGAATTTTTTATGTCTCTAGTATCATAAAACCCAATGACTCTATAAGTGACAGCCAAACTGAAAGTTTTAATAATACAATAATTTTTTGCCACTAGGAATAGGCGATTAAGCCCCTAATCCCTAATCACCCTTTAAAAGATGGAGTATATAAGGTATTTCTCCCTTCTTTCTGTATGGTTTCATGGTGCAATTGGGAGCACATTCGACGTGTACTCATGAAATAGACAAACTGAAACACTGAAATATTAAATCAAGTTCATATTTGAAAAAAAAAGGGGTAGGAGATGGGTAATTTTATTTTGTACTATAAGAAACAAAGAGATCAATTTATTGTTTGAAATACTATCAGTGGAGTTATACAATCAAAATACCACTTCACAACAATTTAGCTTTCTAATAAATACAGGAATATTAATTTCAATAAATTTTAAATATGGTTTGCAGGTAAAAAGGCAGACAAACAAAAAATCTTAATTATATGGCAGATAAGCAACCAGTGTCATAAATTTTAAACACACCAATTTTGTTTTCCAAAGTAATATTACACAAACCTTGAAGGCGCAAAGGCTTAAGGTAACTGGACTCATTAGGTTTTGCAGGCATCCTAAAAGACGTTCGAGCTACCATAATAATTGATTGATGGGTAGCTGGGCAATGGCGAGTGATGGCAACTGTGTTCTCATCTCTCTGATCAACAAAAACCTGGAACAGAATTTTATAAGCTTATTCATGAATGATTTTTTTACATATGAATAAAAACTGAAAGGTGTTGGAATTAATAAAACCTATATGAAAAGCACCTTCAACTAATTACATTGTAAACATAACACATTAATTGAGGCTATGTAAATAATTTCACATTCAACTACAAGTGATCCATTCAGCACAGAAGGACATTGTATATACTACATTACACTTGAAATCTCTGTTGCCTTACAAATGCGAAAATGCCTATCACATAAACTCAAAGCAGTAATTCAAATCAACTATATTAATTATAGTCTTAGAATATATATATATATATATATATACAGTGGTGGCCAAAATTGTGGACACTTTTGGAAATTTTTATGTTTTTGAACTTTGTATGCTTATAGAAAACGTTATGTTTCACAAAATGCAAACTTATATATATCATTTTAAAGAGAATTTATTACTGAATTCACACACAAAATTCAATTACTTGCAATACAAAAAAAGTTAAACGATAATAGTTATCGATATACATTAGATAGTGATGATTGCAGTGAGTTATCAGTACTTAGTAGGGTACCCTTTATTTCTGATTACAGCTTTACATCGACGTTTTATTAAGCTGGCAAGAGTTTTCAGCTCTTCTTTCATTATTACATGACGCCAGGAAACAATTATAGCCTCATTTAGTTCCCTTTTATTTGATGGGCACCTCATTTGGACAAGAGTTTTCAAACGGTGCCACAAATTTTCGATAGATCGAGGTCAGGACTGTTTCCTGGTCATGACAACAATTTAATGCTCTTTGTACAAAACCACTCTTTCGAAAATTTGGCTGTGTGGCAAGGAGCAGAATCCTGCTGAAAAATAAACGAAGCATTTTTGGGAAAGAGATCTCTGATGGAAGGTAGAAGTTTTGGTTCTAGAACAGTGTCAATGTATTTTCTGGCATTCAGTGTCCCATCGATGACATGAAGGCGACCAATACCATCTGCTGACATGCATGACCAAATCATAACACTAACTGGGTTCTTCATAGTTGCTTGAATGCTGTCAGGATTTAGCTCTTCTCCTATTCTGCGTCTTACATATTTTCGCCCATCACTACCCAATAACGATATCTTAGTTTCATCACTCTATATAACTTGTGACCACTGATCATCTATCCAATTAATGTGTTCCTTTGCCCACTGTAGTCTTTTTTTTCGTTGCTGAAAATTAAGATAATGCTTTTTTTGTGGAATTCTACCTCTCAGTCCAACATCTGTTAATCTTCTCCTGATTGTTCTTGAACTGACAAAAACAACAGCCATCATTCAGATCACTTCTTCTGATGGCTGCTGATGACATTTTGCTATCTTGGAGACAATTCTTTTTATTCTTCGTCATCAAATAGAAGGTGGTGCACCTTTTTCGGCCTTTCCTTCTTTGTTTTTTATTGAATGTCTCCTGATATCGTAAACAAACTTTGGACTCCAGATATAGTCACTGAACACCCGTCTTGCAATTCAGGATAAGAAGAGACCACTTTCTCGTAACACAATTAATATTAAATCTCTTTCTAGGTGTCCAATCTACTCTTTTATTGATGTCTTTGTTTCTTGACTAAATAAAAATTTATAAAAATTCCTACTTGTAATTGCAGTGTATAAGAAACAGGTCCTCCTTCTACAGAACAAAGCAAGAATTGTTTCAAGTGTAAACATGATGTCAGCTTCTACTATTACTAACATATGATTGTTACTAACATTCTAGAACAAGATTGGCCAGGAAAGCTAGACATTACAAACCACTTCATAACTGTGTTTTTTTATTTATTTTAAAGTACATATAACTTCTTTTGTATTGCAAATAATTGAATTTTGTGTTTTGTATTGGATTCAGTAATAAATTCTCTTTAAAATGATATATACAAGTTTGCATTTTGCGAAACGTAAAATTTTCTATAAGCATACCAAGTTCAAAAACATAAAAATTTCCAAAAGTGTCCACAATTTTGGCCACCACTGTATATTCATTTCAGAAGGTTCTCCATGATGTTAGCGTGTATAATGCAGCAGAGGGAAAGATATCAAGACCAGTTGATAGTTTGATTTTGTGCTACATGCATAACCAAACAGCTATTTAGATTATTGCATCAGTATTTTTTCCCAGTGAAATGCAAAATAAAATTAAATAAGTTTTATAAATACAGACTTAAATTGGATACAATTCCACATGCCTTTGATTGAAACTCTTAAAAAAAAAAAAAAAAAATGCCCGTTTTGCCCTATAATGAGATCTTGGAAACATTTTTCTCTTATGTGAAACTGTTTGTAAGTGAATACATTTTATATGGAAAAGATGAAGTGAGAAATTCTATGAAAAGCATTCCAATAATTACAACTGATTTAAGTAGCATCACATGTGTTCAGTCTTACCTTCCTGGTTTATGAACTGCAAAAAATAGAAAATGTCTATAGAGGGCAGTGCTGTGCAAAAGCTTATGAAGCATTTGTTTACGTTAAGTTAAAGGTTGAGAACGAAATCTTAATTAATCTTGTAGCTTCAAAATCCAGAGTGGCTGCTTTAAAAAAGCTGTCACTGCCAAGGCTTTTTGATGCTTTGCTTTTGGTAAGATTAGCAAGTGAAGTGAAATCAGTTATCAACAAAAAACAAATATTGAGGTGTTTTTTTTGGAGGGGGGGGGAGTGATTCGAAAGTCACCTTATACTGGATTCAGAACCCAAATAAAAAGGTGGAAACAATTTGCATGAAACTATGTGAAAGGCTTGACAACTGAGGCTATGTGGTAACATTGTCCTGGAAAAAAAAACCCGGTCAATTTAATTACCCATGGTGCAAATATTGATTCTCTTATAAATAACACAACTTGATGGACTGGACTTGCTTTCCTAAAGGAAATTATTCCTGAACCTCCAGAATTTAATGTCACAGTACATGAGAATTTTAATGACCTAAAAAAAGACTGTCGTAATATTCACTCTTTGAAACTTTCTAGTATAACAAAGGACTTTAACTGTGTTTTAAGTTTTCTTTTCAGATTCGTTTATAATAAAAGAAAAACCTTAGCTCCTTTTATTGATAATCATTCTATTACTAGAGATGGTCAGTGTCAGTGTTTGAATGAAAATTTTGCCTTTAATGATAAAGGCATGGATTTTTGTGGACCCTTTCTGGTGAAATAATGCAAAGAAAAATACCGCAAAGATGTATTTAATGAGGTTTATGTTGCCATGTTTGTTTGCCTTGCAACACGTATAATTCATTTGGAAATCATAACAGATATAATGACACAAACTTTTACATCTTAAAAAAAAAGGTTGAAAAATCTTGAAAAGGTTTTTATCTCGAAGAGGCAAATCTAGAAAATATTTTATGGATAATACACAAACATTTGTAGATATGGCATCAGAGTTAAAGAGATTATTTAATATGGTGAATTCTCCTGATGAACTTCTTGCAGTGTATTTATCTTCCAAAGGGAGTGACTGGAAGTTCTTCCCTCCCAAGGTGCCCAATTTTGGCAGTCTTTGGAAGGATGGCATAAAGTCATTCAAATACCATTTGAAATGTGTTGTGGGAAATACTGATTTAAGTATAGAAGAGTTTTTAACAATTTTCATACAAACTGAAGGGTTTTTTAATTCATGTCCCCTTTCTCCTATCTATGTTTTTCAATTGTAATGATTATAGAATTTTGTCCCTCAGACACTTTTTGATTGTCAGAGAGATCACCTCTATACCTCAGTTTAATTTAACATGTATCTCTGAAAACAGACTTTTACAATGGCAAAAAATAACTAATTATGTTTAAAAAATGTGCCAAATGTGGTGACACAATATTCTTAGTAATTTACATCAAAGATCAAAGTGGCAGTTGGATAAAAATAATGTTAATGTTCAAACTGTTGTACTTATAAAGATGAGAATCTTCATCCAACCAAATGGTTGGTTGCTAAAATTACTGAAATATTTCCAGGCAAGGCTGGAAAAGTAAGAGTTGTCAATTTATAGTTGTGAGATGGAAATTTCTTAAAAGAATCAGTTGCCATATATGCATTTGGCCAAAGCAATAGTTAAGACTATATGGAATTATTGTAATAGTGTTATATCTATTTTTAAGTTGTTACACGGTGTTACTGTAACATGTGTTTTATTATTATATTTTATTATTATTCAGGTTTTGCAAAATTTGTTGTGATATTCTCCTATTGAAATTTGCAATTGCAATAGGTGGGAGGATGTTCAATCTTGGCTCCCTGATTGATGCATTGCAGAAAATAGAAAATGCCTCCAGAGGTCAGTGCTGTGCAAAAATAGGAGAAAACCCAGTGAGTGTGTTCCCGCCATTATGGCATTAGTGTTTATGAGTTCTAGAGCCTTGAAATAAAAGATACAATCCTAACTTTATAATACATTCTGATATTTATTGAGTAAGTGCGAGTTAAATTTAACTATTCAGTATGGCTCTCAGCACCAATCACAACATGCTGTGCAAGATAATGGCTTTAGAAATCAAAAATTGCTATTATCACATCAATCATTCGATTACCAACAGGAAGGCATCCCCCTCTTTTTTTTGGCATCATTGGTAAAATTGCCAATTCCAGCAACCCCGGGCTTCACTCCCACTCTGTTGAGGAAAACATTTAACCATTCATTTATTCATTCACTGGGAGGAGAAGAAAGCAATTGTTATGGCATCTGTTTCATCTTCAACATATGTGCATAATTTCCAACCACTGAAAATCACTACACAATCCCTCTAAGATTATCATTATGCTTCTGCAGCAAGCATAAATCTTATGAAATCCAAACTGAAAAAAAAAATTCTGTATTTTCAACTCCAGGGGAAAACAACCACTGAAGGTCAGTACGCAGACCCGATTCAAACATGATGTTCTAACTTTAGCAATAACATGAAAAAAAATCAAGGTTTATTTTTATGGAATAACATTCCTACTGTGCAAAAAGTGGAAAAGTTATAAATAATGAAGCTAATTTGCCTAATGTTCCATTTGCCTAAGAGCCCAAATGATGAAAGACTTAGGGTTTGCATATACATAAACTGTCAATTTTGATTAAACATGACGATATTCACTGCTGGAGGCAAAGATATCTAAGAGTTATAAAAAAATACTGAGCACAATTTACTATACTGATGAAATATGAGTAAAATTTAGGCATTCTAAAACCACATTTAAGAAGATATGACAATAAAAAGTGCTATGAGAGCCTTTTTCAGGAAACTGATCAGGAAAAGGTTTATGGCGTACTATTGCTCATGCTGGGATTGAAGATGGATTTATTCCTGAAGCATGTAATATATTTAGAGTATAAAAAAAAGGTGAAAAGATTATAAGGAAATGAATGCAAAATACTATGAAAATTGAGTACACCAGTTTATAACTAGTTACTGCTTACTTGCAACCTAGCGGTGTAATTATATTGGATAATGCATCTTAATTACCATTTTGTTTGAAAACATTCCTTCTTCAAGTATAAGGAAAGCAGGCATTCAGCTTTGTTACACAGAAAAAATATTCCTTCTAGCCTTGCATGTGTTCTTAAGTTAGATCACCTTGAAGTATAGTCTTTAATCCTGAGATTATTTCTGCTTTGAAAAGGTTGGAAAACCATTATGGGGTTAACAGTTCTGCTCTGTTTGGAAATCAACTCCAATGCAAACAACTCGTGGCAACTTATGAACAAAGAATACAAGGGTACAAATGGCTATCTGCTATGCCATTACAAAAAGTGCACAATCAAAAAGAGAATATATGTTAAACAAAAAGGTTCTTCATAAATATTCTTAAAAAATTATGTGCTTATATTCACTTTTTTTACTTTTAATTCAATAGCATAAAAGAAATTTCTGAAATAGCTTATATAACGATAGATAAATTTTAATAACGTTTAGGTACCTTACATCAAGAATGTAGTTTTAAGTTTTAAGACATAAGTATAATCAATAAACAGTGTCGATTTTTTAAAAAAGCTTCATAAAACAAGAATATTCATACTTCAAAAGTGAAATGTTACCTGTGTAAAACCAGAAGCACCTAGTTCTGAATGCAGTTTATTGAGAGCTTTCTTTCCTGCAATTATGCCATTGTTTGCATTAATAAAACCTCTCTTAGCAATTACTTCATCAGTCCAAGAAGTATACAGGCGTTTCTCAGAAACTACATGTATCTATAATGACAAAGCATACTTCAAGTGAGTAACATCTTTCTTACTATAATACTAATTACATGTAGTAATTTTTATGAAAGTAAATAATAAATCTCAATGCAGTTATGATTCATATATAGAGGCACTTCTTGTTATTGATACTTTAGTGGATTACATTATTTTAATACAGAAAAGCACATTCGAGCTAATTGCAAATGAAAAGTGATGCCTCCCCAATCACCCCATGAAATTAAGAAAAATGGCATATATTTATGTTAAAATGAACAGGAACCATGAAAACCTCATGAGCCAGGATGAATTACCAATGTTCTGCTCTTCAGAAACTTAGCCATTGGTCAGAACAACTTAATGACCAGAAATCAATAAAAATCATCAGTTTTTTTTTTTTTTTTTTTTTTTTTTTACCCTTGTAAATACATTTAGACTACCAAAAAATTTTAATAATATCAGTTTTTGATTGCTAATGAAAGAAAAACCATAAACTATATGTATGTGTATAAATAAAAATTGTAGAAAGCTCGCCTAAAAGTTACCAAGAGCTGCTGCTCCAAAAGGTTTAAGACGTTTTCAAAAATTAATACACATGAAAAGCAAATCATTAGACATGTAAAACAAAAATACAATAAAATTAAAAAACAGAAAAAGTTAAAAAGTAAGCGGAAAATGGTAAATTAGCCCAATTCGACATCCAAACAGGCTTTTCAAGGGAAATTTCATTTATTTGAACGTCGAATCAAGCTAACCCCATTACGCGTTTCGCCGAAACAGACAATTGAAACTTTTTCGCTAAAAAATTTTTTGACAAAGTGTCTTGGAAATTTTAATAGTCTCAATTCTCTGTTCCAATTCCCGACGCGTCCGCTCAGAATGACACATTAAGGTGTTAAAAATATGTTAATCAAAATCAAACTTTCTAAATCTAGTCTAAAATTAAAATCAAAACGAAAATAAATAGCGATGAGCTATTAGTCCTAAAAATACAAATACATTCGGGCTGGGCCTGCAAGCTTAAAGATTAACAATTTTATTTTTAAAAAATAGATTTTATAAAACTGTAAGAAAATCTGTAGTTAATAATCAATATAAAATAAAAAATTGAGAATGTATATGTGTATAAATATATATAAATAAGGAAATAAATAGGTGAATGGCAGGACATTTAGCTAAAAGAGATATAATGGCACTTGAAATGGGCTGAGAAGCAAACAAAAGGGACAGAACTTTCAAAAACCATATTTAAACTGTTTTCAAATAATTCAGATGTAAAAAAAACAAAATTTAGAAAATTTTCCTATTGCTTTATGGACTATCAATTAAGAATATTTGATCTAACTACTAAATTACATCAAAAACTTACAACATCAAGCTACAAATGAAAGAAAATTTAATTACACAATGGAAACATAATCAAAAAAACTATTCATTCATTAATTAATTTGACTTTTGATGAAAGGGAGTTTTCAATATGTAATATTTTATTAGTTTGTTTCAACATAGGCAGCCCTAAACTTTTGAAAAATTCACTATTTCACACATTTTTAAAAATTTACTTTTTAAAAATTTTTTGTCGATATTACAATATCATTTGCTTCCATACATTCACTCCCCTGGAGCAAGCACTCACAAACTGCCTTCTAGAGCAGCGGGATTCTCGGAATCATTCTGACCTCACTAGGGTTCTGAGTTACGGTGACTGAAGCCTAATGTATTAAACAGGTTTAGTCTTGTATTAGGACATATATTATTGCGTTGTGTGTTTTGTCAGTTTGTTTATATTTAAATGTTTTGCCCTTACAAACATGACTCAGAAGCTGAGAAACTGCAGTGTTGATATAAATAAAAATACTTCATAAACTTCATACGAATGAAATAAAGATGGAAATAATTAGACATTCTGAAAGCAATGTCCTTTTGCTTCAACTGCCCATCTGTATAACATAAATATGTCTATGATATGTTAAGTTTTGAAAAACAAATAAAATTAAGAAACACTCAAAATTGTGGAAGTACAGCTTCAAAGATTGTTTTCCAAAATGCGTGGCATAATGATGGATGAAACGAAAGGATTTTTATCATTATGGATTGAAGATCAACATTAAAACAATGTCCCACTGAGTTCTTCAATTATTCAAGTAAAAGCTCTTAGCTTGCATGAAGATTGAAAGACTATATTAAAAGATGATTCTAACAAGATGTTTCAAGCAAACAATGGCTAGTTCGATAAATTTTAAATGAGGTATTCATTAAATATTAAATTCACTGGAGAATCGGCTGATGCAGATAAAGGTAGTAAAAAGAAATGTCATCCCTCATTGCCCAAAATTATTGTAGATGGAGAATATTCTCTTAGTCCAATATTCAATGTAGACAAGAGAGGTATAATTCGGAAAAAAATATCTAATAGCAAAGGAAGCTGTTGCTCTGGACATAAACCTTCTAAAAACCAGTTGGCATTTCTTCTTGGTAGAAACTTAGCTGGTGATTTAAAATGGAAGCCAATGTTAGTTTATTAAATGGAAAATTCCAGAGCATTGAAAGGAAAACAAAGAGTTGCTTCTAATCATTCAAAAGTAAAAAAAAAAAAAAAAAAAAAAAAAAAAAAAAAAAAAAAAAAAAAAAGCCTGGGTTACTGCATTTATATTTAAAAATTGGTTCACTTGTCATTTCGTGCCAGTAGTTAAGCAATACTATTGTAAAGATAAAATTCACAATTTCAAACATTATTTATTGAGAAAGTCAAAGCATGTAACAATTGAGAAAGACAAAGCATGTAACAGAAGTCTTTATTAAGAAAAGAAGAAAAAGATAATATTCAATAAACTCTTGATAAGTTTATTAAAAAATCTGAAAGCACTTAAACACACTTCATTAACTTAATTATGGATATTGATAAATAAAAGATTATTTTAAAATACAATTTTTTTAATGTTTTTTGTACATTCCTCTAGTTTTGAGCACTCAACATTCACACACATTTTCAAGAACCAATAATATGAGAAGTTGAGAGCCCTCTATATTCTAATATTTATCAGATGTATGCTAGCCATTTCATTAAGAGAACATTAGGTATGTTTTGAGTTTTTCTTTTTTAAACTCTCTCTCAGCTTTTCTTTGTAAATTAAAAAAAAAAATTGTTATGATTTCGGCATATTTGTATTTTTTCATAAGGTAATTTAATTTTTTCTTGAATACGGTCTATGAATTAGGTTTGAAAAAATGAAACAATGACTTTATTTACTCACTTCTTTTTCAGTGCCATGTAAAATTCTCTTTCTTTTTCAGTGCCATGTAAAATTCTCTTTAAATAAATTAAGTCTAGCTTAACTTTATTAAAACCCTTTTTTAAAAAAAGAATTTAATAAAAAATTCAGACAGAGTACCGCAAACAGAGTAAATGAACATATGTTTCTCCCAAGTAACAATACATGTTCAATTCCATTGCTTCTTTTGGTGCAACATGATGATTTCTTTAGGCTCTATAGCAGCGTTTCCTAACCAGGGTTCCCCAAAACATTGTTAAGAGTTCAGCAAGAAACAGGGAAATAACATGCACATTAAAAGAGAAAACAGTTTTTTTCATGATTTGGTACTGCACTTGAGTAACTTCGGTGAGGGAAGTGGGTGTGATGGCAACAAGATTGAAAAGCTGCCTTTGGCTGTTCAGCTGTTTTTGGTTAGACTGACAGACATCGTGAACAATGGTATGAATTTTTTTGTTATTTACATTACCAAATCCCATACAAAAATGTTATGTTTCTTTGCATACAAAAAATGCATACATTATTTGCATTAAAAAAAAGGTAATTTTTTTTCAAAAGGAAGGATATTAATGTATTCTTTCGCAAGTTTCATCAAACTGTACATTGGTAATTTGAGGCTAGGCATACCATTCGAGCCTAACCAAGCACAGCCAAAGAGCTTTAAAGGCACCTTTTCAATAGTCATAGACTTGAATCTAGCACACCTGTGTATGCATTAGTGATGCAAGAAGTGTAAGATTATCTAGTTGGTTAAACAGAATGCCAATGCATATTTTTTTACTTTTTTAGTTTATTTTATTATTATTTACTACTATATTATTAGTGTTTTATTAAGTTTTGTTTCTCATTTTATAATTCTTCTATGGATTTTAACAGTTAAAATGTACCAATATTTGAAGACAAACAATCCATATTATTCTGAAGAGACTAGTGATGAAGATTTAGAATCTAATCCGAAATTTCAAAAGGTAGCTAAAGAAAGAAGTTCAAAAAAGGTTCATCGTTGGACTTTACATGGACTGGTTATCCAGAATGTTCTCTTTCATTCATTGCGTCTCATTTATAGTAAAAAAAAAAAACTTTAAAATATAGAAACGGCTCCAACACAACTAAAATTTCACAATAAATCATACTAATATGAAAAATAAAACTGTTTATTACTTTAAACCTATGTTAAAAATCTCAAAATAAACAGAGTACAGCTTTTATAAACACATTCACAGCTAGTCAAAAGGCTCAGAAAGCAAGTTATTTGCTAGGAGAGCTTACTGCCCAGAAAAGGTAAAGCCACACAGTCAATGTGAATTTGATAATGCCCATACGTAAAATTATAGTGGGTAAAACGTTGGGAGCAGATGCAGTAAGGAAAACTGAAAATATTCCACTTTCGAACAATACAGTAAGTCAATGAGTCAGTGATATGTCATGTAATGTTGAACAGGTTTTGTGTAATAGACAAGAAAATGCCTTTTTTTTTTTTTTTTTTTTTAAAATTAAGAGAACCAGTCAACAGATTTAACCAACAAACGTTATGTTCTAAGCTTTGTAAGATTAGTTAATGAGGAAGAAATTCAAGAAAATTTCCTCTGCTGTAAAGAATTACTATAAACAATCACGAGAATAGATATATTTAATATTTTATCTACATAACCGGAAAAAATTCTTTCCTGGAAGAATTGTATTGGCATTTGTACGGATGGTGCTGCTTTTATAGTTGGCTTCATAAAAGGCTTTGTTAAA